ATATATAGTAATCCAGTCATCTTTTGATAGCACCTAAGCTGATTCTATATCTTGGCTACAATTAGCACAAGAATGCAGGTATTTCTTTTCTGTGCTGACTTCATTTCCTTTGGATATATATATACCCAGGAGTGGGATAGCTGGATCATATTGGTAGTTCTATTTTTAGTTTTTTTAAGGAAACTTCATACTGTTTTCCATAGTGGTCATATTAATTTATATTCCCACCAAGAGTGTGCAAGGTTTCCTCTTATTCCACAAACTCACCAAAATTTGTTACTTTTTCTTTTCTTTTTTTTTTTTTTTGGTAATAGTCATTATGATCGGGGGCAATATAGAATCTCAATGTAGTTTTGACTTACGTTTCCTTGATGGTTAAAGATTTTTCATATAGTGGTTTGTACTCACTCTTTTGTGAGGTGTCTTTTAAGATCATGTGCACATTTATTAGTTGGATTACTTGTTTTTGTTAAGTTTTTTGAGTCCCTTATATATCCTGGATATTAGTGCTCTGATGAGTAGCAGGCAGAGATTTTTCTCCCGTTCTGCAGGCTGTCTCTTCACTCTGCTGATTGTTTCCTTTGCTGTGCAGCTTTTTAATTTGATGTAATCCCATTTTTTAACTGTTGCCTTTGTTTTGTGGACGGTTGGAGTCCTACCTAGGAAATCATTGCTTGTACCAAGACCTTGAAGTGTTTCCCCTGTGTTTTCTTTTAGTAGTTTCAAAGTTTTAGCTTATATTTAAGGTCTTTGATGCATTCTGAATTAATTTTTGTTCACGGTGAGAGACTGTGCTCCAGTTTCAGTCTTCTTTATGTGACTATCCAGTTCTCCAAGCACCACTTGTTGAAGTGCTGCTCTCTTCCCACTGTGTGTCTGTGGCCCCTTCATTGAGAATCACTTGGCTGAAGATTCTGGGTTCTCTCTTCTCTTTCTGTTGTCTGCTTTTATGCCAATACCATGCTGTTTTGTAACAGTGGCTCTGTAGTATGTTTTGAAATCTGTTATTGTGATGCCTGCAGCATTGTTCTCTTTTCTCAGGATTGCTTTGGCTATATGGAGTCCTTTGTTTCCATTTGAATTTTAGACTTTGTTCTAGTTCTGTGAAAAATGTCATTGAGGATCGCATTGAATCTGTAGACTGCTTTGGGTAGAATGTCCATTTTGACACTATTGATTCTCCCAGTTCATGAAAGGTTTTTCCCTCTTCTAATGTATTCAATTTCTTTCTTCAGTGTTTTATAATTTTCATTGTAGAAGTCTTTTATTTCCTTAATTAGATTTATTCCTACATATCTTATTTTATGTGGCTATTATGAATGTACTCACTTTCCTGATTTATTTCTCAGTGAATTGGTGTATAAAAAAGCTACTGACTTTTATTGGTGTATAAAAAAGCGACTGACTTTTGTATGTTGATTTTGTATCTTGTTACTTTGCTGAATTGGTTTATCAGTTCTAAAAGTATTTGATGGAGTCCTCCTGATTTTTCTATGTACAGAATCATGATCTGTAAACAAGGATAGCTGGACTTCCTCCTTTTCTCTGTGTTTGCCTTTTCTTTCTTTCTCTTGCCTGAGTGCTCTGGATAGATTTCTTTACTATATTGAATAAGAGTGGTGAGAGTAATATTAGAGGAATTGCTCTCAGTTTTTTCCCATTCAGTATGATTTTGGCTATCAATCTAATTTCTTATTTAAAACTATGCCATTCGTTTCATTTCAATTTTGATTGCATATCAACAGAAACCATATACATATATTTCTACCTAATATTTTATATAGCTCTCATTTATAGATCTTTGTTTTGTACAGACCTTTGGCATATGTGCATTGACTCAATTCTCTAGTTTCGCAAACAGAGAAACCAAGGCAAGGCAAACATGCACAGTTTGTTATAGCTGGTAAGTGTCAAAGCTAGGATGTGAACCTAGATGACTCTAACTCCAGTGCCTGAATTATTTAAGAGTGATAATGGCTATTCCTTAAATATTTTCAGCAAGTTATCTGCAAGTATTTATAGTCTTTGGTTCTGTAAATGTAAACTCCTGTTAGATTATTGAGGGTGTATGACTGGTAGTTCTATTTTTGTCTAGTTTTATCATAGAACTAAACTATGCTTTATTTAGCTGTTTTCTCCCACAGGCGTTCAGCCACTTGTGTGTGCCTCGGCCAGACTATTTCCTTCCTTCTTGCTGACTTGGTCTTCTATTCCCTTCCCTTTCTCCTCTTTGTCACTGGGAGTGCCTCCACTCTCCACCACCAGCCTGTGTCCATTTCTTCTGCTCAAGTAATTTCCTATATTTTATATTCCCTCCATCCTCTAGAAGGATTCAGACATTTCTGTGGTTGTTTCAAGTCTGAGTCCTTTAAGATTCTACCAGGTACAAGTGCTAGTTTTGTTCAGAATCTCAAACAGCATGCATGATGTTCTTAGTTGGGACAGATTCTGTGAATGGGAAAACTTGAAATATAGTTCTCATAGTTTTCACATACATGAAGTCTACAAAATGTTGCAGGGCTAACTCAACAGTTCTGTGATCATCAGGGCTAAGGCTTCTTCTCTGGTCTGTGGCTTCTCCTAGGGTCTAATACAATAGCTGGAGTTCTGCCAATCACATCTGCATTTCTGCCAGCAGGGAGGAGGAAGGGAAGAGGGGCATGACCTCGCCCTTTAAACTTGCCTCCCTCTTTAACGACAGCTCACAGAAATCACATTTTAACACTTAATTGCATCTTCCTATTTCCATATTCATGATACCAAGGTGAAAGCTTGAAATCAGCCATGGTGGGAGTATTTACACCATGAGGCTTGGCAAATGCTACAAACCAGAGCTTCATCCTTTGCCCCCCCCCCCACCACACTAGAATTGGTTGCTAAATATTTACTAGCAACCACTAATGATATCCCATTGGGTGGGAGTCAGGCACAAGCCAACACCTAGCTGGAAGGTAGACTGGAAAATATTGCTTGTATTCCAGGTAACTGTGTACCCACCTTTAAATTTTTAAGGAACAGGGAAACCTGATTAATGACAGACAATTAACTATTTTTATCAGTATGTTCCATCATTTCCATGGTTCCCGTTTGTTTCTGTGCCACTCTGAGGATTCTGAAGTCAATTAATAACTCTGCTCTGTAATAACTAAGCTCAGCTGCTGCTACTGATGATGATGATTTTTCATAGATTCAGGTTCCTCTTTCCCAAAGTACATCTAACATGAGACTACCATGTTTAATGAAATTCACTATAGATGGAGACTATTTTAAGGGAATTATAGTACAGAAGAGGAATAATTAAAGTATGCCAATATTCCAAAGCCATGAGCCTTCCTTGTTATCCATGTTGCTCCCTGGCACCAGCCTGTACCCTGGTCCCAGGGGGAGTATATCCTCCCCCAGTTAGAAGCAACAGAAACATTAGCTTAAAAATCTCAGCTCCCACAAAAATGTTCAAGTTATATCCTCACCCTCATCTACCAGCATTGCATTCTGAAAGTGTACCAGATTTTAAGAAGACTTCTTTAGTTCTGCAGCATAGATGGTTATACAATAATTACCCATAAATACCTACCTGTGTCAAGCACCTATGTCAAGTCTGTTGCCTGCTAAATAGATGATGATTTGTAAAAGCTACCTGGCTGCTCACTCAAGCAGAATCTATTACATCAGCCTCAGCCAAATAGGGTAAGATTGGTTACCATTCAAGGCAGGAGCATGCTCTTAGAAGACTTTAAAAAAAAATTAGACATCAGCAATGTATTTGTTAATGAGAATCCTAAAGCTTTAAGGACTCCCAATATCTGAATTTTTAATGTCCTGCTGTTTTGCAAGGTTTCTTTATTCCACAGCCTTTTGGCCAGAGACAGAACTGAGGGTAAGAAGAAATTGTGACATCCCCAGAGTGAGTCATACATGGTGAAGGTGCTAGTTCAGCCATTATCTGTTTTCTAACATCGCTGTGGTCAGTTATTACATAAAGATATAGAAACTGGTACACATCAGAGGAAAATGATGACATCCAAAGGATTAACAACATTCATGACACTTACTTCACTAAAAGGAAAATTGAGATCACAGAGGTCAGATCACTAGGGAAAGTTCCCCAAAGTACTAAGTCGGGGAGCCAGAATGAGGAGCTAGACCTCCAGCTCTAGTTCCCTGTACAGCATTTTAGGTTCTTCAGGATGCAAATAATAGTTTCCTAACCAAAACTCATTTGAACATTTATTATTGTATGTATTGCATAAATATGTGGTTTCAGATTTGCAGATTTATGGTCCCAGTTTTCAGGGTGCCCTACTTCTACCTAGGGGCAGCCAGTTCACACACACAGTTATCTGAATGACGCTTCCTAGATTTGGACTGCCTGCTCCCTGAACATAGAATGACTGTGGTAGTGGGATTGAATTAGCGGCTCTGTGATGTTAGGGCTCTAGGGTAGCATTCCTGGGGCTCTTCTTTCCTTGCAAGGTAGCTATAGCTACTCTAACTGTATGTCACCACATGTGAAAGTCTAGGCAGAAAGGAAGGGGCAGGTAAAAACAAAGTGTTCTGCTCAGACTTTTTTTTGTGTGTGTGGCAATTTTTTTTTTTTTTTTTTTTGTGGGGCAAAATCTCTTTGGAAATCATTTAACAGACTTTCCTAGTCTCTTATTGCCCAGGGATGAGTCACATGGCTATCTCTAGGCCAGCTATTTACAGAGGAAATGAGCTCACTAAGGTAGGCTTCTGAATGCACAGCTCTGCTATCTGGCATGCAGGGTGAAGTTCATTTGAAACATGACTAACAGCATCCGCCATCCAGTGTTGGCGTGATGTGCTTCACTGAAGTTGGAGTGATGTGCTTTAATACATATTGTTGCCAAAGGGAAAGCATTCAGAAAAGAAGACATATCATGAATGATTTGACATGGGCAACTCAAATTTCTTTCCTCTATATTGTCCTCTGCCTAGCTTCCCTCTGCTGGCTTTGCCTGACTGTGTGGGAAACATGCTTTTCACCTGAGGGAAGTGTAATATTTTACCACTGCTGTTCAGCAGCTTTTTGGATTTTCCATTAACAGGTAACAGGCACTTGGAATTATTTTGTTTTCTGGGTGAGCAGCTTGAGGCATGTGCATTTCCCAAACGGTTCTCAAGTTGAAGTAACAGGTACCTGCTTTATTTTAGACATGAATGAGAAAAATGACCTCCACACACTCATGTAGCAATCAACTGAAGCATGTGAATTCACTGAAAAAGTTTCCTTTCAAAGGCATTGACCAGTTTTTCTTAGTGTAAGGGTGCTTCCTCTCTTCTACCTGTCCCCTATGATGTTGACAGAGAAGAAAACAGAATGTGAAACTCCTAAAAATGTGGCAACATTAAAGTGTGAAGAGAGTCTTTGGATTGGAAGTTTCCTGAAGTGAGAGAGTGTCTGTGTGATTTCATTTTTCATAAGTCCTTGAATCTGCTGAGACCATCAGCAGGAGGAGGTTGAGAGGCTGAGCACAAGGAATGAGGCCCTTTAGGTAGCTAGTCCTGGAAGATCCTGGGAAAGAGATCTGCTTTCAGTCCTAGACTCCCCTTTTACTCTTGGCTGGAGGCAAATCAGTAGGGTCTATGGGAGGAGGTCCAGGACCCGGAGCTTGAGGGAGACCAGTGATGTGGCATATGTAGTACAACAGATGGTATGTAATATGACAAATGCCCTTTGGTTAAGCCTGAGATTATGATGCCAAACATTACCTAGGACTTAATGACCATCTGCAATCTAGTCTGATAGAGGGGAAACTTCTGTAAATATTAAGATTCAACCTATCAGTTCATTGCTAAGTGACAAAATGGAACTGGCCATGTCTGAGGTTGAGACAAGTTATTTCTGGGGTCAACTTTAGAGATAAGATTTGTGGGTCATAAGTCCTTTGTTGGAGTCCCCTGGGAGTATGCTTGTGGCCTTGACCCTGTGTATTTGGTGTAGGTGGAGGCAGGCAGCTTCTTGGCAGACTGGGGACTGTAAGCCAGGATGGATGCTGGAGCCCCTAGGGTGCCTGGGCTCAGGACAAGGCAACCCTTCCCTTGTCAAGGGAGTGGCCTCTGACCCTTATTGGAAGGAGATGTTTAGAATGGGTACCATAATTATAGATATTCTTCTGCTATCTCCGTGAGGTTGGTTATCTCCCTGGGAAGACCTGTTGTTTCCATCTTGTTTGTTTTCAGCTGCCCCCTTCCCAGTGGGGAGATAGAGCCAGCTTCAGGAGGTTCAGCCTCTAATTTCCATTAAACCGACCCTGATATTAGGAAAGGCCAAGCAAACTGTGAGCATGGGAATTTCCCCTGTCATAAAGCATTCACGGGATGGACCTGGTGAGGATAATGACAATGATAGAGAGAGTTCTCAATACTCAACAATGTTCCCCTTTCAGTCATGGCCCTAAGTAGTGAGCCTTTGATAAACTTAGCTTCCAGGGATTGGGAACTAAAGTCACACTTGCTAATAAAGCATTTAAAGATAGGTTACTTCCTTAGTTAAAAACAGATGTAAACAAACACACCTCTAGAACACTCTGTGACAGGTGACATGTCCATGATGTGTGGTGTTGGACATTGTATGTCTTTCGGATGGTCTCCCGCCCCTAAAGCCCTGCTATAAAACTGGTGCTTCTTGTCCTTGTCTAAGACACTGCCTTAGACATGACTCATTAATATTTGAGAGCTGAGGACTCCCATTAAAATGTGATAAGTGTTTTTAAAATGTTAGCATTAAAATTTATAAAATAATTAGATGAGGGATACAAATTCTATGTAAGAAAGGTAGCTTGTGAATGTAGGGGATGTGTTCAGTCTCTTCTTAACTTGCCCAGTGCCAGGCTCTTTTAAATAGTTCCTGCATTCCTGCATTTTCTTTTTAAATAATCTACAGCATTTGTTCAATTTTGCTGCTCATTAATTTCCTAAACACTTTAAGGTCATGAGTTCAACTGATCTGCTGATTTCATGGTTCTCAGAGAAACACATTTTCTAAATTTAGACTTCCCATATCATGAGGTCCCTGGGAGGACAGCTTCAAAAGCCTTCCCTTCTGTAGTTTTGCTCCCTAGAGAAGGATTTTATTTGTTCATTTGTCTAGTTGGCTAGTGGTAAGGCCTGGTTGGCTGGTGGTAAGTGCTAGGAGGCAGATGGGCCAAGGCCATGTGCTCTGAGAGCCAACAGGATACAATCTGTGGTTCTCGGCTGATGCTAGCCAGCAATAGGAAGTCCCCCTTTGTGGCCTAATTTAAAGCTCTTTGCCAGGAACATAGAGTGCACTTGTAGTTTGTTTTGGTTAAGCTCCAAACACCAGTCCATGTTTGGGAAATTGAAGTAAGAATGGGCAGAGTACAGAGGCTGCCCTTTCCCCACCAGAATCCACCATCTGCTTTGTCACTCGTGAGATGCAACACAAAACCAGAGATAGAATCTCAGAGGAATGGGTAACACTGGCAAAACATGTACATAATGTAAAACACACTGGCATCAATAACAACATGCAGAACTCCAAGTGGAGGGGTCTATTGTCCTCTAATTTTGTATCTAAATGCTAGTACCACCTCTTGGAAGTGTAACTTGGAATTGTTATATGTTTTTGAACCTATTTCTCCATTTATATAATGGGAATATTTGGCTTATGTATCTCCATGAGTGGTTATAAGAATCAGATGAGAAATTGGGCTGCTGAGAGGTATTTGTTGACAATGATCATACACTGTTCCTATAGAATATTATTTCTTGAATCATATATATATGTATATGTATACATAAACATATCTATATCTATCTATATGTACACATATGTATAAACGTATCTACACCTATAAGTAACAATTGGTTCCTTTTCTACTTGTGAAATTTGGCATAGGGTTCCTAAAAGTAGGAAAAGGTTCTTGGAATCACCCCATTCTATGAAAGATCGCTTAATCTCTGACTTGTCTGTTTGCCCAACAGGGTGCCATGTAAAAGGTGTGTGGTGGTGGGCAATGGAGGAGTTTTGAAGAATAAGAGCTTAGGAGAGAAAATCGACTCCTATGATGTAATAATAAGGTAAATATATTGCCAACCTAGAATTGAAGAGAATATGGCTTCCTACTTTAGGCAGCTGTGTTTTAAAAGTTGCTTCAATTTGTTTATGTACTTGATTACACAACTTTCTCACTCAGTAATTGGCTAGAGTAAAGCCTAGATTTCTAGTCACTGACTTAGCAAATATTTATTAGGTCCTTTTAATATTCCAGGTACAGTTTTAGCTGCAGGGGAGATAGCAGTGGATAAGAATAGTGCTTTTATTCCCTGTGGGGCTTACATTCTGATGGAAGGAAGAAAACAATAATTATGAGAAAATGTATTAAGTGTCATATATCCAATTAGAAAAAGATCACAGAGAATGGTTGAGTGGTACTTGGGAATGGGTGACCATATTAAGGAGGATCTTGGTGACCATATAGGACCAGCCATATGAAGGTTAAAGAAGAGCAGTCCAGACACAGAGACTGTTTACTTTAGATCCTCAGGATAGGATCCTGTGTTTGAGTAAACAGCAAAGTTTGAGGGCAGCAAGCTTAGGTGTGATCAGAGGCTAAAGAGGTGGCAAGGAGCAGGCTGTGTGGGATTTTGTAAACTAGGATTAAAAGCTTGGATTTTAAGTATACCAGGAAGCTTTTGAAGGTTAAGCAAGAGAGGAATGCATTTGAGTTCTTTAAGTTGCTACATTCAAGTAGGAGATGATGGTTGGGTCAGAATAGAAGTAGGCAAGTGGTCAGACCAGAGACATGTTACAGACATGGGGTTAGCAGGATTTATTGCTTTACTAGATGTAAGGACTAATGGGAATAAAACCACCAAGGGTGTTGCTTATTGTTTTCAACTTAAAAGGGTGGCTGGATAGTGATGATCATTTATTGATAGGAGCAGGATAAGTAGATTTAGAAGAGTAAGATTTTCTGTATTTACATGTTAGATTTGAGATGCTTTTGAGAGACGTAGTGGATAAGTCACACAGAAAGTTAAGTTTCAATGGAAGAGGCCTGTGAGCTATGTTTATCCTATGGACTTGGTGAGAGTCCCCAGGGAGAGACTGAGGGATAAAAGAGGGCCCAGGAAGGGCATGGAGCTTAACACATTGAGGGAAATTGATCAAAGTGAAGGGAGATGGAGAGGGTGTACCAGTGAAGAAAAAAGAAAATGAGAAGGTGATCACAGAAGCCAAGAGAACAGTGTTTTTGGTCAGAGAGAGAGAGAGAGAGAGAGAGATCAACTGCATCCCAATAGTGATGAGAGCTCATGTAAAACAAGGACAGAGAGGAGACCATTAGATGGTCAATCTGTAACTCTTTATTACTTTGACAAAAGTAAGTTTAAAGGCATAAGATGGCAAAAAGCCTGCTTGGAATGGGTTGGAAAGAATGCAGATGAGGAAATGGAGAAATCAGTGTCATCAACTCGTTTGAGACATTTTGCTCTGAAGGGGAGTTGAAAAATGAACTGGCAGTTGGAGATGGTTACAGAATCAAGGAAAGACCTGTTGTGTTTTTTTGTGATGGTAGTATATTGCTGGAGTAGAAACTAATAGAAATGAGTGGAGAAAGACACTGGTGTGGTAGAGAGAGAGGGGAATGGGGTACAGAGTGCAAGCATGGTTAATATTTTGTAATGGAAAGAGGAGCCAGGATTGTGGCTAGAGCTACCAACATTCCCTTAGATGTAGCGGCGGAAAAATAAAATGTTTCTGTTTTCTCAATGAAAGTTTGAGGTAAGTTCATCATCTGGTCTAAATGTGTTAGGAGTAGCTAAGAATAGTCTTCTGTGGGAAAGCTAGTGCTTTGGGGTAACGCATCAGGGTGACCGGGCCAGTGTTCTGGAGTTTTACTGGCTTCAAGCTGGTTTCTACAGAGCAAGGTCACCATATTTTATTTATTTTCCATTTTCAGAAAGCTTTGGTAATTTACTTACAAAATAATTTTGAAGCATTCACAAATTTCTGTACTTGTAAAACGTCTAAATCTGACCATTTAGAACCACAGCAAGCCCTTGTAGGAAAACAACATGGTGTAAATTTTTGAAAGTCATTTCAAATATTATTAAGACTGTCTTATATTACACAAAGTCAGAGGCAAAGGGCAAAGCAATATTTATCCTCCTAGGGGACACTGTTTTGGAAACAAAGTATTCTTTTTTTATGCCATGCTTTCATGGTGTGTGCATAAATAGTGCATGTCTGACCTTGGCTTTGAGCATACACAAACCTAACAGTAGATCTTTTGCTGTTCTTTAGTTCATTCTAGCAACAGACCTTCATTGGTGGTGCTCCAGTACAATGGTGCTCCTGCACTTCAGAGAAGCACGATTTTAATGGGTCTTCAAGCCAGCTTAAATGTGATTCTTCTTATCTGTTAGTTGTTTAGACACACATCCACTTGCCACAACACTGTGGCCATGGGCATATTTAGGTCTTCAGGGCTCTCATGGGTAAATCCAACGGTGTTTCTGTGGTTGTCTCCCAAGGTCTCTTTTAAGTCTAGTATTCTGTGCTCCCATCTCTTTTATTTAGTCTTCAGTTTTCCTGGAGGTAAAACTGAATTATCCTTGGCTCCACAATTAATTTTAAAATACAAATGAATATTTTTTGCCTTTGATCAAACAGCTAGTTCTTGCGAGGAATTATCTCCTTAGCCATTGCATGTAAAAGATTGATCAGTTGCTGTGTGGTTTCAGAGCACAAGATAAATGGCTATTTGTCCAATTCTGAAGCCTCTGAGAACTATAATGAAAATGGCTTATTCTCCACCTGTCTGTATATCTTGTGTGTCTTGCTACCCACAGAATGAACAATGGTCCTGTTTTAGAACATGAAGAGGAAGTTGGGAGAAGGACAACCTTCCGACTTTTTTATCCAGAATCTGTTTTTTCAGATCAAAGTCACAATGACCCCAATAGTACGGTGATTCTGGCTGCTTTTAAACCACTTGACTTAAAGTGGCTGTTCGAACTGTTGTCAGATGGCAAAATAGTAAGTTGGCAAAATTGATCTGCCTTCAGATTCCTTTAGTGTTTTTCTTTCAAAAGAATAAGACAACTGTATTTTATTTTCTATACCCTTTATTTCAGAACACTAGTGGTTTTTGGAAGAAACCAGCCTTAAATTTGATCTATCAACCTTATCAAATCAGAATATTAGATCCTTTTATTATCAGAACGGCAGCTTTTGAACTACTTCATTTCCCAAAAACATTTCCCAAAAATCAGGTATGTATGTTTGCATGATTTCAAACTGAATATCCAACTGAAGTAGAATAGAGGGTCTGGGACCTTTCAGAAATTGTGTGAGAACCATGGCTCAATGAGGTAGTTTCTAAGTCCTCTATTTGAAATAGTAAGATTGATACCTGCGGACATTATCTTTGTTTTTCAGGATAAAAAGAAAATAGCCCTAAGATTTTTTTGTTGTTTTTTGGGTTTATCTTCCTGCCCCCTTCTGGGGTTTCCTAGGATCTGTGTGTTCAGACTTATCCCTTAGAGCCTCATCTTCAGTCTTCTGCAGCAAGGAGAGTGACTGGCTTTAGGACAAGCATGTGGCTTTTCAGGCTAAAAAGAATTGTATGAAGCATTCATTAGGAAACTTCATATTACTACAATGAAATATACAAAATAGGCCTCTTATGAAAAAAATATGGTATATTTTTGGAAGAAAAGAAGTCCAAGATTGAGTGGCTCCATGTTTTGAACTTGTGGCAAGGATGGCACATCGTGGTGCATATTGGAGCCTATGATCACATCTCAAGCCAGGAAATATAAAGAGCAAGACACCAGAGTCCCACAATCCCTTTTGAGGGTAATGACCTGGGGGCCTCCCACCAGGCCTCACCTCTTAAAGGCCCACTAGTGCCACCATTGTGACAAAGCCTTACATATGGACCTTTGGGGGAAACACATCCAAACCACAGCACACAGTTTAAAATACCACAGGAAAGCTAGAAAAGTGAGGAAGGACAATAATGTAGTCCAAAAATTAGAGAAAACATTGGTACTAAAATTTTCAAGAAATGAGCAAAAGTTGGAAGATGACATAGAATCAAGAAGTTTGTTTATATACTGAAGGGACTGATTGAATAGAGGAAAAAAAATATTGATGTTGAGGGGAGAAAGTGGTTAAGGGTAGAAGCTTAGTTAGGTAGAGATGGGATATACACACTGCCTAGTAAAGGGGTCAGACGTAGCACCAATAGGGACATCTCATCCATTGTGATGAGGCGTGAGCCTGCAAGTGTGGGTAAAGATGCAGATAAGATGGTAGATTGGAGTTGGGTAGATGATGTAGCTCTGTTTGCTTTCATTTACACAAAGCAATAAGGATTGTCAATTTAAAGTAGGAAGATGGGCTGTTGAATAGAAAGTTATCTGTCATCTTGGAAAGTAGGAATGGGGCTTGACAATTGCAATAGGATTGCAAGATGTACTCAATGTCTGCTTGACTTTGACCATAAGTTTAACATTTGATCAGACAAGTATATTTTTCTTTTGTTTTATTCTGGTGCTTAGGTGTAGGCATAGGATGACTGGAGAATTGATTTTCACTAGAGTAAAGAGTGTCACGTGATCATATAGGATGATGGGTATGATACTGGAGGGCTAAGCCATAGGACATGAGGAGGATTGAACTTAATATTTTTGGTTAAATATTCCAAAATCCTTGTTTTATGACTAGGTCAACCCAAAATGTTTTGGAAATAAGGAGCTCATTTGCATTTTATAAAAATTTACATTTCTCTCTTAGAAACCCAAACACCCAACGACAGGAATTATTGCTATCACGTTGGCGTTTCACATATGTCACGAAGTTCACCTAGCTGGTTTTAAATATAACTTTTCTGACCTCAACAGTCCTTTGCACTACTATGGAAATGCCACCATGTCTTTGATGACTAAGGTAACATACACATCATTTCCAGTAACATTCTTTGGTATAATCTTTGTTATGGTTGAAAAGCCCGTTATTTTTCTCACTTTCACTTTACTGATAAGTTTTGAGAGAGAGCGAGAGCTTGAAGGGGGCTACAAAGCTATTGAAGGCCGAAATTAGGACTCAAGTCCAGAGGTTATTTTACTATAGCAATAATTCCTAAATTGTGGACCTCAGATCCTTGGTAGAATCTCATGATTATTACCAAGTGCATCAAAACCATATAGGGACCAAGCCTTAGATATTATACCATGTTTGTGCTATTTAAGTATAAATACAACCTTCTGTGTTTGAGATGTACAGATTTACCCCAAAGCAGGGCTATGCTCACAGTAATTATTTTCATGTATTTGTTTCACTTTTTTCTGGGGTGCTAGTTATTGAACCCAGGGCTTCGTGCTTGCTATGCAAGCTCTGTACCACTGAGCTGCAGCCCTGCCCTTCATGTATTTTTGGTATTGTTAGAGAAGATAGTCTAGAACAACATAATCCCACAAAAGAAATTTCATGGTTAAAAAGGTTGCCTTTTCGCTAGATCACTATTGATCAGAGATCAATAGTGGTGAATTTAATCCTGAGGATTTCAATTGAATGAGAAGGATTTTCTTATTTTTTTAAAATTCTTAGATTAGTGGGATACCACAAGTGATAGGATTAAAATGTTATCTGTACATTGACATATGAAGTGATCTGCTATATATGGATATATCTCATGAAATATATCTCCTTAAGTCATCCCCAAATAATACATAAACTATACTAGTAGTAGTATTCAGGCTGGATTTTATTCCTGTCTTCTGTCCCTTCAACCCTTGGCTCCTGACCATAAACCAAACATTTGAATATTAAAGATTTAGGTGCCTAGAACAGACTTTAGGCTCATTTCTCCAATCTCTAATCTTTCCTGTAGCACTTGTGGTACAAGTGTCATATAAATAACAATGTTAAAACTGAGAAAAATTAGTATATCAATAGAATCATTTAAATTTTTTGTGGTGCTGGGACTTGAACCCAGAGCCTTGAACATAACTAGACAAATGCTCTATCACTGAGCTACAACCCCCAGATTCAGAATTATTTTTAAAAAAACATCTTAAGCTGAACCATTCTTTATAGGAGGTTCTTATGTCCAGGACAGTTTTTTTTTTTTTTTTTAATGAGTTCCAAGGGGCTGGGGTTGTGGCTCAGTGACAGAGCACTTGCCTCTCACATGTGAGGCACTGGGTTCGATCCACAGCACCACATAAAAATGAATAAACAAATTAAAGATATTGTGAAAAATAAATAAGTTCTAATTTGGTGCTTTTATTAAAAAAAAAAAAAAAAGCCATCTGACTTGAAATTTTGGTTCCTAGATTTGTATCACAGGATACCACAGGGTCTGAAGAGGCCTCTACTCAAGTGATAGTTCAAGTGGAGAGAGTGGGCTTTAGGGAATGCTCTTACACAAGAACGAACAAGGAAAAAAAAAGTAGGAAGGTAACAGAAGTCCATGTGACTTGTTACTTAGCACTTGAGCTTTGTATATAGAATTTTTAAGATCCAGAATATTCAATTGCTGTATTAATATTTTGAGATTAGAACATATAGTAATTTTACATTGTTTTCCTTCTTCAGAATGCATATCACAATGTGACTGCAGAACAGCTCTTTTTGAAAGACATTATAGAAAAAAACTTTGTAATCAACTTGACTCAAGATTGACCCTCCAGATTCAGAAGATGATGCTAACAGTATTAGTTTTATTTTTATACTGCAATTTTTAGTTTATTTTTAAATATATTCGATAAACTTTTCAAATTATGTATATGAAGTCTGTGGCTGCTTGGTGACTCATACCCATCAGCTTAATTTCTGTGAATATATTTATGAAAACCAAGAAAGGTCAAGCTAGTTATCAGGGAAATAAAGTTTTAATTGCATTTTTTAAAAAAATAAGCTACTGTTTTTGAGATGTTTTAAAACATCTTTTTATAGTTGACTTCATCTCAGACTTCTGAAAGGACATGACTTCTTAATAAGGAGATTTAGTTTACCAAACAGTTTTGACTACCATGGAATTCTGAGAGGTGTGATTGGCTACTGTACACCTGGCAGGTGGGGAACTGGAATATGATTGTGCCTTGCTCTAGCAATCTGCACCCACCTAAGTTCACACTGGCTTAACTCTTCCCCTCTTGTCCCCTGCAATTAGTTAAATAATGATTATAATAAGTTATAATTTGGTAGAAGAAAATGGTGTTTTTTTTTTTTTTTTCTCTTTTTAAGTTAAAGGAAATGGGCAAAATGTGAAATTCTGGATAAGTAAATAACTAATTCAATTACTAAGTCTGGTTGCTTTGTATTATTTTAAACAATTAAAACTAACTTTCTACAAAGAAGCCAAACTAGGGAAGCTCAAGGAAGGAAAAACTCTGAAACATATTTTGCCTGGCATAATTTATCCATTAAATTTTCAGTTTTTATTTGAAGTAAATTGGGAAAGGTAAGGAAGACAACAAAGCAAATTAAGCCGAAAGAACAATCAAGCTGCCAGGTGTGGTGGTGCACACTTTTTTTTTTTTTTTTTGGTACCAGGGATTGAACCCAGGGGCACTCAACCACTGAGCCTCATCCCCAGCCCTTTTTATATTTTATTTATATCACTGAGTTGCTTTGCACCTCACGATCCTCTTGCCTCAGCCTCCCAAGCTGCTGAGATTACAGGCCTGCACCACAATGCCGCTGGTGGTACGCACTTGTAATCCCAGTGACTCAGGAGGCTGATAAAGAAAATCACAAGTTCAAAACCAGCCTCGGCAACATGGCAAGGCCCTGTCTCAAAAAATAAATAGGGCTGGGGATGCATCTCAGTGGTAAAGCAAACCTGGGTTAAATCCCCAGTACCAAATGAGAGGAAAAAAAAAAAAAAGTCAAGCTGTTTTTAGACTTAAGTATTTTCATGAAAAATCCCAATTTTTCACACGATTAATCTTCAAATGAAAAGCTTACCTGGCTATCTTGGATGCACCAAAACATCCAACTGGATGCAAATAAGTTAGTCCTACAAATGTGGTGAGCTGGTTTCTTTTCCAAATTTTATGAACAGAACCAAAGTCTCTTTGGGGGTAAGAGAATAAGAGGTGAAGGAGAAAGGAAGAGAAAAGCAGAGGTTATAACAATGGAATTAAAAACTGTCAGAAGACGTCTGAGTTTATTTATAAAAGAATTACTATGCTGAAAAATAGATATCATTGGGAAACATCAATGTTACTGACAAGCATCCTGCCTGAGTATACAAAGGGCCAAAATGAAATACTTAAAAGCAGTGGGAGACAGAGAAAACTAGTAGTTGATTTAACTTGAGTTCAGACACTAATTATAAGGACTATGTTCTGTTAATACCAGCACACGTTTGCCTAGTGCCTCAGTTTTATTTGATTCTTCTGATAACTCGGATGAGGAAATGGTGGTAATAGACCAGAATCCTCTGCATTCTGTGGGATATTTCCCTTATAACACACAGCCATAGGAGGCAGCCTGGCTACTAAAGTACAGTTTATATAAAACGAATCGAGCTTCAGAAAGGATGGTGTTCGGCAAAGAGAAAAAAAAAATAGTGGCATTTTCAAATGTTGGTATGATCACGGTAATAACGGCCATAAAATTGATGACTGAAGTGAATATTGAGATATCTGGCATTTTGTGTAGTGTGACAAAATCTACAAAGCTCAAGTTTCTTTAAGCCAAATAATCTGAGCAAGACACAAATATACAATTTATTAAAAACACATTAACACATTAAAATCTCACTATTTATACAATCTATTCTAGCAACATATACAAATACTGAGTGACTACAGTACATGCCGAGGTAAGAAAAGTACATTCTGGGAGAATATAACTGACACCCAAACCATTTTTACTTCCAATATATATTGCAATACATGTTTTATTTCTACCATTCCCAGTGCCAAATAAAAGAAAAAAGTAAAAGAAACTAGTCACAAGTTAAATTAAATGAGAACTGGTGCCACAGTTGACTTAAAAAGTATTTTAATAACATCCAATGCCTATTTGCATTTTTCAGTTTAGGGACTTTAAGTTCAGAATCAAAAGGCAGAGCTAATAAATTTTTGTTTTCTTTTTTTAAAGGCAGAGGTTCATCAGTTCTCTTAAGAGTTGAAAAAGCTTTCAATGTCCCTCATAATATACTAGTTCTTTCTAGGTGCCTCATCTGACATGGTGTTTCTATAGCCCTTTAGCTCTCCAGGTGACAATATGGAACCAAGGCAAAGATGCTCTGGACTTATCACTCTCCACAGCTCTGAGGCCACATTCAGATGGATGATCTCACATTCCGCTCTCCCCTTCTGGGAGAGGGAAGAGGAGAGGCAAGTGTACATATAACATTGTGATTTTAACCTGTGCATAAATTCTCTACTTCAACCATTTTCACCATTGAGTAAACCCATTGTTCAACACAAAGTGCAAATAATGAAACGTGAACTTAAATAACTGGACTAGACCTGGCACATTCAACAAGATTTAGACTTACAGCATTTAATAAAATATAAATCATAATTCACAATGTCTTTAACTGTGCTGGTTCCTAGAATCAAGTAACAGCCAAGTCAGTGTAATTTTATGAAGTCAGTAATGGCCACACTTGCCACATCGCTGTCTGATTCTATTTCTATATTTGTATTATCAGGAAAAAATTTAATCCAATAACCCACAGTGACTAAGTCTTAAATATTTCAAGCAATGAATAAAAAAATTCAAGGGAATTTTGACAACAATAGTTACTTTCACATTTTTAGTTGTTACTTGATTGTCTCCAAAGCTGTATATATCAGACATATAAATGTAATAAAAACCAAAAATAAAGAATTCTAATATGAAAACAAACTAAAAGTACAAAACCAGAAAAACCATTTGAATCAGGCTCAGCAATCCATCTGGAAAGTAAAATATATAAAAATAGTAAAAAGTATTTTATTAAAATCATTGGTAGTTCAAGGACAACAGCACAGTGGCAATATGAATCAAGTCTTAAAATATGCATCATTTCAGAAAACATTTGCCTCTCATTGAAAGAAAGATTTAAAAAAAAAAAAAAAAAAGCTCCAGGGAAAATGATCAGGTTGCACAATTGTACAAAAATAGCAAGTTTCTTTGGGAAAATGCAACAGTTATTGAAACATATCTCTTAAAGCTTCAAACAGGCATATGACTTGAGGAAAAGTATATTCCCTGTGTACTAAGGATGAGTATAAACAACAAAATGGTTTACTCTGTTCCCACCTGAAAGGGGATAACTGCATTAATACATGTGCTTTACAAATTCACTTATGGTTTAATAAAAGTACAACATCTGTGCTTTTTGTTTAAAAATATGCACTGAGTTTTCAATGAGTGAAAATTGTGCCTCTAAGTTTGAAAAACAAAAAGCAAATGAAAACAAAACCAACAAAATTAAACAAGAAGAAGGCAGAGAAGCTGCAGAAATAAACAGTTCTCATTTAGAAGCAATCTTTTAAAAAATACTGATGCACTTGTGGAAGTGAGCAAAATGAATACTGTTCAACTTTATTCAAACATCATAATCTGCTGGCATGAGCCAACAGAAATATCTAGAACCTGATGGAAAAATACATTTTAACATTTAGTCTACACACTAAAGTTTACGATAAAGGGAATGTCAAATTCATATATTTTTATCATGGTGAGCTTACACTGTCTTGCCAGTCTAAAGAGATTTAAAAATGGGATTTGCGATATAGGCTAATATATTACAGATGATATCTAATTTACTCCATCTGAAACTAGTTCTGGGCAGGTCATGAACAAGTGGCAACAAAGAAGTTGCCAGGAGGTATCAAAAACAATTTCATTGGCAGAATGTGATGATGTCTGTTCCCTAGCTATGACAACAAAGGACTACTGACACCTCTTACCACATAGACAAGACACAATCACACAGTATCAAAGAACACATGTTGGGTTTCTATCTCTTATACTAGTTTTTCTGGGGAAAAGTGAATATATAAAATATTTAATTTGACTAAAATTATAAAATACCATGAGACACTAAAAAAATTTGTATGTATGTATACCTATGTGTGTATATATGTGTATGTGTATACACACACATATATTTTTTATATGTATATATCTCCAAAGAGGACAAGTTCTGGTTACTTTTTGTTGTAGTTTTTGAAGGTAGTTTATATTACTTCTGAGTGAAGAGGGGAGAGTCTCCTTTAGGACTTTTCTAAATTGTAAATTGTTTCTCTTCTGTTTCCACCTTAAGAAGTACACTTGAAGACATCAGAGGATCTGAATTCATGAGACTGATAATGCAAGCATCACCTACTGAAATAAAATATTTTATAAACACATGAATGGGGCTAGCCACGATGGGCCCTGGGGCAGAAAGAATAAGCAGGGATGAGACCAGGTCCATGAACTGCTTCAACTCTTAAAAGTATCAAGAGGGGAAAGTCGGTCACTTTTCCAACATGGATCTTCCTAAGGAGATACCAGGGTATATGGTTGTGGTCAAATCAAACCTTATCTCACTAATTATTTTCAAAAAAGAATACAGAAAGTAATATAGGAACAGAAGAGGAGGAAAGCATGAGAGTACCCACCTTTCACAAAGGGAGAATTCAAGCCATTAGATATTTCAAGAACAGTACCATGCGTTATTGCCAATCAGGCTTATAGAACCATCTCTTGAGTTCATTAATGTACCTGCAGCATTGGTAATACATACTCTCAGTGATTTTCAGTTTCTCTGAAGTGCATTATAGGGAGCTTTTTCTGTATTAAAAATAGTGTTTTACAGTAGTAACAAACAGATGTTCAAAATTATCAGGCAAGCAGTAATTGTGCCACAGCAACACCTTTTAAGCGAGATAAGTAATTTCCTGTACCTCGGTCACCACATTTTCCCAACCACTTCAGTGACAGATATGTAATACATTCTATATATTACTACAACTAATTTAAAAAAAAAAAAAAAAGGCCATGTGCTTTAAATTGATGCTTTGTAAAAAGCAGCATTACCTTCAAAGGATTTCTTTAAAAACATCACACTCCCCATCCCTGTCTGCTCCCGACACTTCCTGCGTGCTCTGGGGCACCTGGTACACCAATTCATCTGGGACAGCTGGTCCTGGCTTCCCACCTTTCGGGGTATCATACTGGGCTCGGGCTGAGGAGCAGCTGTCGGTCCTGGAGAGAAGTGTATTATATGTTCCCACTAAAGTAGGAGGTTGGTTCCCTGTAGCTTTGAAAGTAGATGTGGAGGGCAGACCAACTGAAGCTGTGGGGTGCCCTGACATGTCCATGATGATGGGGGTTGCGTACTCAGGTCCAGTAATTGGCAGTGGTTCAGCATAGGCATGATACACTTCTTGCACTGGAGAGTTGTAAGGATCAAGGTCTGCATAGCCTGCTTCTTTTCCTTCTTCTGGTTTAAAAGTAGATCTCTGATGAAGTGTACCAACAATTCCTCCCACAAGTGGCTGTGCATACTCTGCAGATACCACAAAACACAACAGAAGAGTTCTCTTGCTAATACAGAGATTATGTAATTTAAGGAGGTAGCTGCAGGTTACACTAAGAGAAAATACTTCTCTATGGCATGGTTATTGCTATTAACACACGAGTCATGGATTTCCCACTTACAAGACCCAAATTAAAAACTTAATGTTTTCTAGTATTTCACAGTAATAAGTTAATCTGCCAGAAAGTCTCATTCATGTAATTTCACATACACTGTATACGTTCTTTCAACTGAGGTAGTATTTCATTACAAAATAAATATTTCATTTTTAGAATGGTATTAGTCTTAGAAAATACCTGATTTTTTTCCTTTTCAAAAATATGAGAAAATGTTTAAAGTGCATGTGTTCTAGGACAGTAGGATACTGTAAAGCTCTGTCTTTCCTAATGCCAGTCTTAACACCTTTGTCCTACCCCAAACAAAATAAAACCAAAACCCAGGTCAACAAACAAAATGCCCCAAAATGTTCCAATTTTATGAATAAAACATGTAATATGTTCTCTCAAGATCATCTTTTTAAAAAGTCTACCCTTAGAATACAGCTTATATTTAACATATGAAAAAGATCAAAGATCCTATAAATCCTATAGCACTTTTCAGAAAACTTAAGCCATTTCTTCCTCTACCTGGTATCCAACAGCTGCCATATAGTTACCTGCAGAGTCAGTTTGCAGCATTGTAGTGACTTCTCTTGGACTCAAATGATTCACCTCACTACTGCTATAGCGCACAGGGGTCTCCTCATGTTCCACTGATTTGGCAGGGAGAAACTGCTTCATTCCTTTCCACCAACCTTCATTGTGACAGTAAGCCAAAGAGACCATTTATTTGTATAATATATATTAATATAAACTAGACTTCAAATTCAAGCTAATTTTCTGCAATGATTAAGATTATCCAGTGCAAAGCAGAACATAGTAGAAATCTATTGAATAAATATGAGGAAGGAATCCTGTTATCATATGTAGTCAGAGAGAACTTCTGTTGTATGGGTGGTTTTTAATAAGTTCTTCTCAAAAAATAATTTGCAAGATCCATCTGGGGGTGCCAGCAGCACTATAATCTGTCCCACTACTGCCCTTTTCTACTCTAGTCCCAGCAGTGAACAGTCTCGTTCTAGTAGTGAGAGTAGAAGTGGGGAGGACCAGCAGGGGGCCTCTGGTATCACTTGTAGTAATTCAGAAGATGACAACTCATCACTATGGAGAAGGCTGACTTCATGAACTCCTAAACTGTTGGCTTCACTTGGCAGAGTGACATGCACATGCTGTTAAAAGGATCATGGTTCTTTGTTTCTTACTCATGATCACATAGGACACACAGAATGCTGGTCTCAAGAGAAACTGAGGACATAGGACAAACCAGACAAGCATTTCAGAAGAAAAAGAACAGAGCACGTGTTATGAGAAATTTGCACTTTCTATTTCATTATTTATTAACTAAAAGATTGTGCAGAACAGTAAAAAATCGCAAGAAGAATGACACTTTTCTAACAGGGTGGGGGAGGAGGGGTTCTGTGGGCCTGAGAACCATGCTCTCCCACTACTGCCACCTGCAGGGGAGGGATTTCCCTCTGACAGAAGAGAGATGCAAATTCCACCTGAGTTACCTGCCCGGTCCCAGTAAGGCAAGTCATAGGTGCCTTCCGTTTTTTTCTTTCTGGAAAAATACAGGGGAAAAGAAAAAACAAAACAAAAGTAAATAGAATGAATTCTCTGGAATGTAATCTCTGAAACTACAGCATAAAGTCCAGAGTGAATAATTAATCAAGAGTACACATTTCTACTTGTTCTGAGAGGGCCCTTTATTGCATTTGACTTTCAAAGTTTCCAGAGCTGTGGATTATAAATTCTGGACTCTCAATAAGTTAAAGTTATATTGCTACTCACATATTACACACTCAAAAGTGATAAAGGAAGAAAAATATTAAAATACTGAATCAAATCAAAGACTCAGCCCTGATAGATGGGCTATTCTTATCAAGTCACATTAGGTCTGTTTGGGTTTCAAATGTAAATTTAACAAATTAATCAATCCACAAAATCACAGAATTAAAAAACGATCTTCTAGTATTCTATTCAGCATTTTTTCCTTTTTCTTGATTGTATTCCTTTTTCTTGATTTTCTTCCACTGCCCTTGGCCCCAGAAAAGTTTAAAGTGTATTATACCCTTAAATGAATAAATTTTACTCCCCCACCATCCCAGCGTAAGTTGATGCTAACACTAACACTGACAAGTGGCAGAAGGAGGGAAGGCACTACAGAGTCACGGGCTCAACTAACAAGACGCTTTCCAGTCATCCTGACAGGATTCTGATTTGTACCCCCCAAGAGAAATCTCTGTTAAGAATTACATTTAGAAAGAGGCTTTTACAAAGAAAAAAATAAACGAAAGAACATTTTCTGATTAGAGTATGTAACTCTAATTTAACTAAACTAGGTTGCTCTGCAGGATAATGAGAAAACAGAAATTAGTCTATAAACGAGGGTAAGGTGGCTCTTTAATTTTCTCAGTATCACAAAAGTGGCTTTTATAAAGAACTCAAAGCCATTTGCTTTTCCTACTATGTTTTTATTGTTAATATTAAGTGCTTCCTCATTTTAAAGCCTGGCTATATTTATATTTCAGGAATTCAAAATAAAGTATAATGTAAATTCTTATAAGTGAAGTTATGCATTAAAACTGTTACTCAAAACTTGAATGAAAAATAAATAGTAAGATCTTGCCCACGTCGCACGCAGGCGATGGAATTTGGAATAGGCAAGAGGCAGGCTGGCTGCAAAATTAAGCTAAGAAAAAGAAGCCCTGAAGAAATCACACTAAATCACACTACACGGTAGAGCTAGGGCAGAGATCTCACACCTTGGACAGTCTACACATGGGATGCCAGGATGGTTCCCAAGGGGAGATCTAAGTCCCCCAAAGGCTCAGTACCGAATAAAAGACCACTCAATTAGCTTCACGGGTGGTGTACCACAGTAAGACTGTTCATTAAACAAAATTCTCCCTGATAATCCTCTATTGTAAGATTAATTTTTTAAATATCAATAATCTTTTCTAAATATAAGTTATCTTAAATAATTAGAACAAAAATTAATAATAATCTTTTCTAAATATAAGTTAAGATATCTTAAATAGTTAGAACAAAAATTAATGGTATGAGTATTACCAAGGGTTGTACTACAAAGGATTATACAAACTGAATTTCAAGTCACAGAGCTTCATATTATTTATTCATCACATATAATTGTTTAGAACAGTGGTTGTCATGGGTTAAAGATTCAATAAGTTAGAGCTGTGTTTATTTATTCACTTTTTCCTCTTTTCCACAGTCCCTTAATGGTATCTGTTCCTTAACTCCTTGTCATGAAGCTAATCACTGCAATTTTGACTCCATTCTTAGTAGTAATTCCAGTTCTCCAATTCAACCCTTTTGTCCTGAACACCAGGCATGTATCCCACCACCTCTGGGGAGTCTAAATATCCAAGGGTCCTTTAGACACCACTATAAATTGATCTCAGGATGTGACTCTGACCCTCTCTAAACAATTCTGCTCCCCTATCCTCACCCTCAGGCCCTGTGCTTCCATCAGTGCATTATCCTTTATTTGTTTGTTATACTTTGGTGGCAGCAGTGGATAAGAACACATGATCCTATGCCTGGTCCAATACTCCACTTTGCCAGTACTAGACAGTGACCTTGGGCAAGTTATTTATGCTGTTGGCCTCATCATCACTATTACTATTGTTCAGTTCACTGAATTCATCATGCACTCTCCTCTCTGGACTTTGCCAAAACCCTTTCCCCTTCTCCCTTTCCCTAGTGCCCTCAGACTGGGCTCTGTTCAGCCTTCCCAACACCAGGCATCTTGGGATCCAGATGCTTCTCCAGTTTCCTTCCATGGCATGGATTCTCTGGTAGGCCATGGCTGACAGCTTTCTGTAATGTAAGCTTGGGATTCATCACTGGAATCCCCAACTCTGGGTTCAATACTTAGCATAGAGTAGCAGTCAAATCTGGAAATATCTGTTGAATGGCCAAACAAGTTATCCTCGTTCTCCACTCATGTCATTACTACTAGTCTAACTGAAAAAGTCAGAAACCTCAGATTCCCTAAATCCTTCCTTTCTTAGTAGGTAACCAGTCATGTACCCTTTGAGGCTGCTGTGAAACATCTATTCTTTTATGTCTTCCCATTCGCTAGAATCAGTGTTTCTGCCTGGCTTAATTAACCTTGCTGTCTCTTCCCATCTATCTTAGTAACTGCAGAACTTACCAGTTTTTAATGGGGAAAAAAGGAGAAACATGTAATTTTTATTCTAATGATTACCCTCTCATCAAATAGATGAATCACACTGTACGTGGTTTATCTTGTTAAAAGTTTCTATTACCTTCACCCCCTGGAACAGCCAGATGAATTAGCTCTGTACTAACCTGTTTCTCCAATGCCAAGCGCACACTAATATGAGGATAAGTGTAGTGAGGACCATGACTAGCACAGGGACAAGAACCGCAGCCAGTGCTACATCTGAAGTTATAAAACATAAAAACCAAGTTAATACTAAAGACAGAAATCACAAGAGAAAAGACAGAAAGGTTTAACCAATGCAATGTTCTACACTTTCCTATCTTAAAAAGTACTTTACACATCACTACAGAAACAAGACTGGGAAGCGGTAACAACTGCAGAAGCCACCATAGATCCGTGGGTGTTAACTACACTATTCATTCCACATTTGTATGTTTTTCATAAGTTTTCATAAGTTTTAAATCACCAATAAAAATTGAAAGACAAATGAAAAACTGGGGAAATATATTTTCTGCATATGGTAAAGGGTTAAAGAATATAGGACTTTACAAGTCAAAAGCAAACAATAAAAAATGAAAATCAATTAAGAATACATTAAAAAATACAAATAAGCAATAAACATTAACCTCACTAGTAATCAAAAATAAGTTAAAACAAGACACTATTTTTTTGCTTATCAAATTGGCAAATATTTAAAAGAAAAACTAATATTTAAGAGCATGCCAGAAAACAGGTATATTTTTAACATTTTAAATGTGAATATAAACTGATACTATATTTCTGGTTGATTTTTTTTAGTAATATGTATAAAACCTATTATAGTTGGCAAGTCTACATCTAGAATTTACTCTTGAGAAGAAATTAAGAAGACATCCAAAGATATATCTTTAAAGATGTTCATTCCTACTTCTGTATAAGAGTGAAAAACTGATAAAATTTGAATATCCAATCATGAAAAGAATAAATGAATCATGGTATCCTCCTTACAGTAGGAATGTCATCTAGAAATTGAAAATAGTGTCATAATGGCAGAATATGTGCACCAACAGGTCAGAAATGGACATAATGCTGGAGCTGACAAGGACTTAGAGATCATTTAATACCCTTATTTCATGCCACACATAGGGAATCTTGTGCACATATACAGAAAAAGGTCTGCCCAAGGTCACATGCAATATTAGTTTCTTCATCCTACAATCCCCTCCTAACCATGAGGATGATAATAGCAGCACTAGGGACTAAGAGCCAGGCACTTTGGTGAATCTAACATGTAGCATCATCTTTACTGCTTAAAACTGTATCCAAAAGGGAAGAGAGAACAGGGAAAAGATATTCGTCTCTCAGAAGTCAATGGATGGAGGGCTGGGGGTATAGCTCAGATGGTAGAGTGCTTGCCTCGCATGCACAAGGCTGTGGGTTTAATCCCCAGCACCACCAAAAAAGAAATGAAGTCAATGGATGGGCAGGCATCAAGGCACAGGTGATGTGATGAGCCTTGGGCAGCATAAGGAACCCTCTTTATCAGTGCAGTTACCAGAGAACACAGGTAAAGCAGTAGGTTCCTCTCAGCTCAGTAGGTTCCTCAAGAAGGGAGTTTCCTTCTAATGGGCTTCTACTTTCTGTATAAAGCTGGAGAGTTATCTGAGAATATGTGAAGATCTCTTGGTCAAGTGTTTCAAAAATATTGAGAACATTTAAAATAGCTCCAGTTGAGAACACAAAGAAAGGTTCACTAGGGAAATCAGAAAGACTGCCAGCACACATCTGATCCTGACATGACTTTCTCCAATCACTCTGGGCCTAGTCATAAACATGGAGGAGGAGAGGTGCATTAAAAAAAAAAAAAAAAAAAAAAAAAAACACATGACTCAGGCTAAAGCACTCAATTCAGAAAAGCAATTGTGTTTCTTCCCTAAAAGTTTGTGAAACTGGAGAGAACAATCATGTTTACATGGATGCAGTGTAAATCAGAGGCTTTAAAACATCAGCTTGGGTTTAAAAGAAAAACTCCACAGACCACCATCCCAAAGAAAAGAAGACAAGAGTCTTCAATTAAAGACTAGTCCATTCTTTGTTATTCTTTTTTAGCTTCCACAGCTACTACTTTGGAATAAAAGACTTTAAAGATGCTTTTAGGCTTGAGGTTTTGAGATTCTATAATTAGATTTTAAGGTAAGTAATACTTTCAAAAGAATATTCTTCCATCCTGGCAGATGTACATGCCTTCTACAAACTGGTAGAAGATCAAGAGTTTCTTGATCTCTTGCTTCTGAGAACTCTTGCTTCTCTAGCTTTTCCTGCAGCATGAAAATGAAATTGTGAAAATGCTTCAGAAGACAAGAAAGAAAATGATATAAGACAGAGGGAGAAAGTCTCTGAGTCCAGGCAAATTTTTAGAAAATCAGAATAACTAAAGTTCTCTATTGCACAAGTTACTCTGCATGAACTGACTGCTCTGAAAATGAGTATGCTTTCCATCTGTCAGCATTGATACTAATTCCATTATGATACTGATGTTTTCTTCCTGAGTAAAACTGAAATTTTGTTTTTCAAATATTAATAGGAATAATTTTGTACATTTTAAATGTTTTGTGTATCTGAATGTAACACTACATTATGTTGATATTTTAATGTAAGATTTAATTTTACTTATCGTTTGTAACAATATTTGAAAGCAAATTCTACTTCATTTGTATATGCAATCTGAAAAATATCATAATTATAAATAAGACCAAAGCTTTTTAAAAATTTTCCCTTTTTGCCAATGACTTCTCTATCCAGCAAATTAATACATAATCAGGGGCAAAAAACCTGATTTCCTATTTATGAAGACCAACAATGTGTCAGGCACTGTGGTAATTTGGGGGGATACTACAGTAATATAAAACAATAAAGAAAAATTAACATAAGATACTGACAAGTTGTCCTTATTTTTAAGTAATTCAAAATAAGAGGTATTTGGCTTTGATTTTAGTAATTTCTAGAAATACTGCATGTCTAAGCCTGAGACCAATGTGATTAGCTGGAAAGGGGAAAGCTCTAACTATATGAATAACAATTTTACATGGTGCCAAAGAATAGCACTTAGATGAATACTGTCAGTCTTTCCCCTAAGGGAAACTATTTTTTTTTTTTTTTTAACACTTAAAAAGTATTGTTAGAGAGAAAGAAACCAAAAGTTTAAAAGCTGGAAAATCTGTTGAAAACAAAACACTCCTAAGCAGCATTTTACATTTGCATACCTTTGGTTACATGTGGAGTTACAGTAGTATTTTTGATATCAGGAGTGGTGGTTGTTTGTTCTGTCTGTCCAGGAAATTCATTGTTACTTCGAGGTTGTAGTGGTTGAGTAAATTTGGGGGCACGACCTGAAAAAAAGTTTTTAAATTAATTTTTATCTATTCCAACATTTAAGATAAATTTAAGATATTAAATTTATTTTATAATTTAAGATATTAAAGATAAATTTATTTTATAATATTTTAAAATATATTTATGGAAAATTATAGCACAAATCCAGAAAATAGCACATTCTTGCATTAAAAGTAGGCATACCTTTGGCTATTCTGGGAGGGGCTGTAGTATTTTTAAGGTCATTGCTGTTTCGAGGAGGTGGAGGCTGAGTAAGTTTTGGAGGACGACCTTGAAAAATGGTTTAGAAAAGTTTATACATTGTGTTTTTAAAAAGCATAAATGTCTGAGATTTCCTAAAGTACTTAATTTTACAGAGCAGATTTTAAGTCTCAGAGAGAATATATCAGAAGTTTAAATACTGCATTCTGCATTACATGCATACATATACTGTGGCTTTTCTGATTTAAATAGTCAAATCATCTAAAAATAATCTTAGGAAGGAGAATGTTGGGGAGCAGAATGATGTTGAACTCCAGAACTATATAGGTATCACCACAATTTGACGTTTATTTGATTAATATTTATACAGAGCCAATTTTATGTCAAGTACTGTGGTAGTTGTGGGGATACAAGAGTAAACATTAAAATATTGAAAGAGGTTATTCCCATTTTTAATTAATTGAAACTAAGATGTACATATTCTAAGGTTACCTTTGGTGCTTATGGTATGTTAGAGTGCATGAGACTTGATTAAAAATTAGTAAGACTAGCTTTGGCAAGCAATCTCAATAATATCATATACCATGAGAATGATGTTACCTCCTCTTTTATTATAATTTTGGAAAACATTCTGATATGTAACTTTTTAATACTGTAACTATTTACCTTTTAAAATCATTTTTAAAAAATTTAATTATATATTCTAACAGGATTTTTAAAGGTAAAGAGTTACCCTCTGATCATTTCACATTGTATACAAGTATTGAAATGTATGGGGTACATGTACCCTACAAATATGTACAAATTTTAAAAACTAGTGAAAATAACATTTTTGAAATATACTGTCTTTTTACCTTTAGGAATAAACTGACATCCAAGCAGTTCCATTTTCATGGCAATTTTCTGCTGCCATTGAGTAGGGTTCACTCTAATAAAACGTGCAATAATTGGTGGCAAAAAGTTATTACGCACATCCTGGTGATAATCTTTGTTTCCTTGAAATATCTTTTAAAAAAAGAAAAGTTGGTACTTAAATCAACAGAGGTCAGAGCCTAAATCACTCCACCTAAACATGCTTTTTGCTGTGGCCTTAAACAACACCTGCAATATATGAGTTAATTTCTAAGAAAAAAATTTAATCAATTAAAAAAAAATCAAGGTGCACATTTTCCATTAAAAATTATAAAAGAATACTGCACACAAAAATTATTTAATTTGGGAAAAGGGTTCAGTTGTAGTGAGACTGCTCACTGTATTAACAACTATAGTCCTACAGAATTACCAGTGATTTAAATGTATTGATTTTATTTTTAAAGTAAAAAAAAAAAAATAATTGATCATACAAGGCCTCAGAGGGAATGCTTTGTTTTTATCCGTTTTATAATTGTATCCTCAAAACACAGCTAAAATGAACATATACAAGCAAGCACATAACAGATATACACCTCCACCTACTGGATAAACTTCACCAAGGCAGTTCCCATATGGTATTTCTAGTGTTCAATACTGATTGATTTGTGAACCAGAAAAGTAACTTTGAAACACTGCTCCATTCCTAATTTAATGATCAAACTAAATAGCTACAAATACACTATATAAATAATCCTTAGATAAAAATATGATTTTAAGTGACAATCTTATTCCCTCAATTATGTCAAGCTAATAATAATAGCATTTTTATACTGGAATAGCCCTTAATTGTTTCAAAAGCAGTTTCATGTAATTAACTCAATTGCTCTCATGACAAAATGAGCAGGGAACAGGAAGCTGTAACTCAAAATGTAAACAGACTGCATAGCTACTCAATGACAAGGCTGTGACTTGAATCTGGATCTTCTGATTTAAGTAGAGGGTTCCAAAACCCTAAAAAAGTTCCCTAGGCCAAATCAGTTAGTAGTTTCTAAAGACAATTAATAAGTAGACAATAGCAGCTATGGTGAGAGCAAGTAAATGTTTAACTTCAAGTTATTTCCAAATACTAAGGCTATTTCTTCTTGGTTGATTATGAAGAAGTTAGACTATAAACCTCTAAGATGTGTTAATAACCTTCATTTTCTTAACATTTGCTTTAAGTTATAATAATTTCTACACTTGTAAGCTTCCATGATTTCTTTAGATATTAAGTAATATCTAAGGCAATTATTTGCAGTCTTATTTTATTAAGGAACAGAAACTTTATATAGCAGAACATCATTTTAGAACATACAAACTATTACTAAGATCTTTAAAAAATTCTATAAAAATTGAGTAAAGATTTTTTTATGTTCAAACTATGATCAATTACTGAGAATTCCTGTGTATTTTGTAAGATGTGACTAATATAAAATGGAAAGGGAAGTCAAAGTTCCTACCCATCAAGGAACTTAAATTTTCTTGGATATTATCAAATATAAAATATGGCAAAATATTAGAAAATAACTTGATAGCAAATTTGTAGATATGTATTAATTCCATTTTCTGAAAATAAAACCAATTTTTCTCCCCATCTACATGCATGTGATCATGCACATATGCAGGCTTAGAAGAGGTGTGAAAATGAAAACACCAATTCCCAAGGAGAAGGTAGGTGAGAGAGCAGATGGGAAAATGTGAGAGAAAAGACTGGTGTTTTATATAATTCAGTGTGAGAATTTCCATTTCTGTCTATGATAGAGTAACAGGGATTAGACTCATTCTTCAGCTTTAAATGTGAAAACCTGGATAAAACATAGAAAGAGTGGTTCTCAACCATGTGTCAACAAGCAGCATAGGTGAATAATCACTGGGAGAAGAGAAACAAAGCAGCCCTGCTATTGCCCCAGTACTGTCTAGAGAGAGTTTCCAGACACTGTAGGAAGAGAGATCCTGCACAAAGCCTGACAGTTACTGAGTGGAGGAGACAGAGCTCAATCCAATAGGCAGTTGAAATTTGTAGGGCAGAGTTACAGAAAGAAGGAACAGAGTAAAAGTAGGACAGACTGACTTCTAGGATCTATAAGGGGGTTTTCATTTAAATCTTTAACTACATTAAAGAAACAACCTGTGGCCAGGAAAAGATGATTCTTATAGATATGCGAACACCTCACATTGCCAACACACAGACTGGAGAAACTTGACAATGTATGGTACCTTGGGTTGAGTGGAATTAGAAGAGTACTGTCTCATTAGTAGGGGAAAAATTAGAACTAATGCCTGCTCATGTCTTAACAAAGCTTAAAAGCAAGACTTAAAAAGAACAAACTGTTTTCTAACAGTTTAACTGCATCACAGAATAAAGCTCAAAAATACATAAGGGAGTAATAGTAAAAATCCAGCACCAAATAATGGTATAATAATGGCACATCTGATCAAAAATTATCAGGCATGTAAAAACGTAAGCCTTGATATTAACAAATATCAAAGAATCCAGATAAAACACATGATAAAAATCAGTAAAGACATTAAAAGTTATTATATGTTCTATATGTTTCTAAGATACACAAGAGACACAAAAGAAATTTTAAAAACCTCAAACTGAAAATAAGAAGTGAGAAATACAATATTAGAGATAGAATATTTTGGACAAGATTAATAGCAGATTAGACACTACAGTAGAATTAATAAACTTGAAGATAATAGAAATTTTCCAAACTAAAACATGCAGAGAAAAAGACTGAAAAATAAAACAAAACCCACTGTACCAGTGAACTGCAAAATATCTTTATAAGGGCCATAGATAGTACTCATAAAATTAGAATTAGGAATGGAAAATATTTGAAGAAAAAAATGGCATGTAATTTTGTGAATTTGATGCAAATCATAGCTTACAAATCCAAGAAGCTCAAAGAATCCTAAGCAGAAGAAATATGAAGAAAATTCCATGAAACCACATCATAATCAAATTGCTTAATAATAAGGAAATCTTAAATTATAACCACAGGAAAAAAGAAACATTACATATTGAGTAACAAAGATAAGACTGATAGTACATTTCTCATTAAAAATAATGCAAGTTAGAAAACAGTGGACCAATAAATTTAAAACATTGGAAAGGAAAAAGACAACCTTGGATTCTATAGCTAGTGAAATTATCTTTCAAAAATGAAGGGAAAAGGTCTTTTTCAGAAATATATTTCAATGCTGTTAGAAGGTTTTTTTTTTTTTTTTTTTTAATATTTTTTAGTTGAACACAATATCATTATTTATTTATTTTTATGTGGTGCTGAAGATCGAACCCAGGGCCTCACATGTGCTAGGTGAGTACTCTACCACTGAGCCACAATACCAGACCCTACAAGTTTTTATAATATAAACATGAATAATTTTTCCATTTAAAAATTCAACTTATTCCAGTTAAATACGGATGTTCTCATGGCAGAGTAGTCAAGTTTGGGGCATTAAACAGAAGAGAGGTATGACAATGTTGCTATTTGCCTCAACAAGGAGGGAGTTCATCAAAGACAAAGTTCATGAGATATCAACAGGAAGAGAGGAGAGAGGGCCTTGACTAGCAGCAGAAGAGTTTCAATCTATGTAAATGGTAACTGGGAGCCCTTGGAGTTTTGAAGAGAGATGAGAAAAGTAGTAATTGAAGATATCTTACCAAATTATATATATGAAAGAAAATATCATGTAATTAAACCAATTTCTTTTTTCTTTAATAACTTTACTTATTTATTTTTAAGTGGTGCTGAGGATCGAACCCAGTGCCTCACATGTGCTAGGCAAGTGCTCTCCTGCTGAGCCACAACCCCAGCCTAATTGAAACCAATTTCATTGCAAGTTAACTGAAAAAAAAAAGTGCTCCTAGTTTCAATTCTAAATGGGAGGCATCATCTTCCTTGGAGACAGGCACTCACTCCTCCATTTAAAGATAGATCCCTTTGGTGGTCACAGGCAAGAAGCGTGTGTGAAAGGTGTAAACACCTGATGAGATACATTTTTGCCTTCTCTCTACATCTTAACATCTCCTCTGGTTCATTCTAACATCTTCATCATCTTTATTATTTTTTTTAGTTGTTGATGGACATTTATATTATTTATGGAGCTGAGAATTGAACACAGTGCCTCACATTTCCTAGACAAGCACTCAACCACTCAGCCACAACCCCAGCCCCAATCTTCATAATCTTCTGCTAACTAAAACAAAAATTTCCTAATAATCATGAGATGTTAAAGAAATTATTCGGGCAGGAAAGAGAGAAGTATTCTAAAATAAAAGTTGGCAAGATGATCTTGAAATGACCTTCCAAGTCTTAAATGCACTTTTAGCCTTCAGCTTTTGTCTTTTCCCTCCTGTCTACGAAGTAGAAATCGGGAATAAATTAGTGTCATTTGATGGATTGATGAGAAGTGTTGAAAGACAAGAATTTATGAGTTTCTTTGTAGTTTCTCAAGTGGCCAAACAATTCATTAGAAAATTCAGTGATAAAAATTAGTATTGACTAAACAAATCACAAAAAGGGATCCAGAATCACTGAGAATTTTCTAACTGTAGTCAAAAGGGTAAAGCCAATAATCAAACTACCTAAAATAACCAGAAGAGGGCAACATGAGACAAAATGACATTTAACTTTTACATTTGAGAACTTCTGTGACTTTTGGCAAAGTTTCATTTTTTAAATGTTTTTAAAAAATACCTTGGTTATAATTTTACCTTATCCTGCTCCACACCAGGCTCTCTGTACACAGTCCATTTCTGCCCATCGTCACTGTACAGAATTCTGTAGGCAGACACATAGTAATTGTGTTCCACCAAAGTGGATCCGGTGGTTATAATGCCTGAGGAATGAGTTGCTTCCATTAGTGCAAAGGGCCTGATTCCAGAGGTTGATTCAACATTAAAGCATAAACTTCTAAGATGCACTGTACAAACATTTTTGTCCATGGCTCATTTACATCTAAGTACTAATTTTCATCATAGTAGTTACTAACTCCTTGGTTTTATTCTTTTGAAGAGACAGAAATAATTATGGGTACAAATAAGGAAAGAATTATTCTATTTTGGCAGTCTGTATTCCAATCATTATAAAATATATTTCAACTTCTGAGTAAGACTGCCCTCCTGGGAATAAAGAAATTAAAGATCTGACTTGTATTATTCTTGATACTAAAGCAAAATAAATCTTTTAACAAAATTACCTAAACCAATCCCAATCAGTTATTCTGATCATTTGCTATATTCCCCCAAATTAAATAAATCTATGCTTAGCACTTGTGAAATATTGTTATTTATAGCACTTAAAATGGACTCTCCTTGAACATAAATTTCTCTTATTGATTCTAAGAGATGATTGTTTAGGTGCCTCAAAATCACTTTATTGAAACTCTAAAATAATTTTAATTATATTAAAATTAATTTAAAATGATTTTATTATTAAGAAAACTATTAAGAATCAAATACCAACCCCTCTCCTTTGTTACCTTTTTAAAAATGCTTTCATTAATGCATTATGGTTATATATAACAGTGGGGTTCATTTTGACATAATCAAACATGCATGGAATTTAATTTGCTCCATTTCAGTCCCCAGTGCTCCCTCTGGCCTTCTTTCTATTTATTGTTTTTTTGTTTATTTTGAAATTGGTGCTTTATAGATAAACATAAAGGCGGTATATTTATGTGTGTACACACAGTAATTTTGACAAATGAATTTCACATTTCTTCCCTTTTTCCATCCCTCCTCTCTTCCAATCTCCTTCCTCTACTCCACTGAGATGTGACCACCCCCTTTTCCCCTTACTTTGCTCTAGTTTCTGCGTATCAGAGAAAATATTCAACCCTTGACTTTGAGTCTGTCCTTTGCCATGTTTTATAAAACTACCTCCAGTCATATTAATGCCAGTTTAAAAAAAAAAAAACAACTAAAATCATATACTTAAATTTTCTATGAAAATCTCAGATGTCATCAGATTTCCAAATAAAATCAGTATTATCAATTGCTATACAAAATTATGTCTCTTAACCTGTTATCTTCTTTTCCTTATTCAGATCTATTTGTAACCACTGATACTCATCAGTGACAAAAGCAGCCCAAGGAGGGCCAGGCTTTTTCAGCCTGGCCTTCTCAGGTTTCCAACTATTCTCTTGCCCTGTGTGGTCAGTCCACTCCAGTACAGATGATGCTGTTATTTGAGGATCAGCAATCACACCCGATTCCATCCCTAGTGTTCCATAACAACCTGAAATAAAGCAGGAAGTACATTTGGTTTCTGTACAGAATTCTGTAGGCAGACACATAGTAAATTCAAGATCTTTACAAACATATTTATTGCAGACTGCTAGGCAAGTGCTTCTTGGAACTATATCTTTGTGTATAATCAGGAAACCTACAAATAATTACTTATAATGCCTAATACAACTACTATGTAAATAGCTGTTACACTGTATTGTTTAGGGAATAATGACAAGAAAAAAAAATCAGTACATGTTTGGAACATATGCAATTTTTCCCCCAATGTTCTCAACTAGCAGATGTGGAACCATGGATACAAAGGACTGACTGCATTCATTTACAAGCAGTAACTGTTAGTGAATGGAGATAACATTACCTTGCCCCAGGACATTAAACAGATAAGTGGGCAACTCAATCCTTTACCTCCTTCAGGTTTTTGTTTGTATGTCACATTCTCCATGAAGCCCACCCTGATCTACTAAAAACTTCAAACCAAGTCCTCCCAGCATTTCCTATCCTCCTTCCTTGCCTTATTTTTCTACATTTTTATCAGATTATAAATAGTACATTGTAAACAGTAATATATTTACTATTTGTCAATCTCTCATTACAAGAATGTAAGCTACAGGAGGGCAGGAGAGTTCTCACTACCAGCAGAACAGTGCCTGGCAAATGAAAAGTGGTACTCGGTAAATATTTTTTTTGGTCAAATGAATTCCTTCTTCAGAGAAGTTTAAAAATCATCTTCTCTAAGCAATCTTCTTTGCTTCCAATATCATTTCCTGATTAATACAGAGGCTGTGGTTTATTTTGTTCATGGTATTATTAGGCACCTTTTTGGGGGGGGGGGGGGGGGGGTACCAGGGATGAGTCGCTTAGCACCTCGCTTTTGCTGAGGCTGGCTTTGAACTCATGATCCTTCTGCCTCAGCCTCCTGAGCCGCTGGGATTACAATTGTGCACCACTGTGTCTGGCTACCAGGCATCTACCTTGATCATCATGTTTCTATGACAAGTAAATGAGAAAAAGCAAAATCCAGCAGATGGCATGGTGTTTGAAAAATATTAGTTTGTTTTATTTATTTATTTAAAGATTTTTTTTAAGATGGACACAATATCTTTATTTATTTATTTTTATGTGGTGCTGAGGATCAAACTCAGTACTTCACATGTGCGAGGCAAGTGCTCTACCACTGAGCTGTAACTCCAACCCCAGTTTATTTATTTACTTAATTCCCCTAGTATTGGGGATTAAACCAGGAGTCACTCTACCACTGAGCTATATCTCCAGACATTCTTCAAACAAGGTTTCATAAGTTGCCCTGGCTGGTTTCAAACTTGTGATCCTCCTGCCTCAGTCTCTGGAGCCGCTGGGATTCCAGACATGGATCACTATGTCCAGCTCCAAATATTAGTTATTATACACATTATAATAGTATAAAGTCCATGAAAGGCTTACCACTTGTCTTAAATGTAAAAAGACTTGTAGATAAGTGTCCCCTGAAAGAGAGAAAGATTTTTTTTAATGACACATAACACATGACTTCCTCATATTTATCTCAGTGAAACTTTTTTTCTTGGTTTGTTTTTTTCCCTTCACTGTTTAAAGAACTAAAGTTTCCACAGTTAAAAATTAGACACCTGGTATTGTTCTCAGTCTTATTTCTATGCAGAACAACTTTTGAAATCAGCATGACAACTTTCTGTATAAGTATCTAACTCCCAGTTTCACATACAATTATGCAAATGTCAATGTAACCTTTAGTATGTACTTTTTTTCTTTTACATGAAATAAATAGACCCCAAACTTTTCTGTGCTTCTGATGAAAGTACATGTGAACCATGTGTGGACAACCAACATGTCTGAGAGCAGGTTTCAGTGTTAGAATGTAGCATTCTAACACTGAATGAGCAGAATGGGTGAGCTGAGGATGGCGGGAGATGAGATATGTGTGGAATTTGCCATGTGGCAGGTAGTAAGACTCCAGGGCACCTGGAAGAATAAGCTTGTCAATGCAGACTCCCGCCCTTAACACCACGTTCAAACTGTCACAAAAGCACAGAATCTATCTATATGTTTTTAAAGTATGAAAGACAGAAGTCACATACACAAACACTTCTTTCTAGTGGTAGAACAGAGGAAAGGAATAAAAGAAGGGATCCAACACCATGCACAATACACTAAAGAAAAGGAAGGTAGCTTACTGCACACCATGGCTGGGCAAATGAAAGCCCATGCATGGCCCATTGTGTATGGCCAGTGGGCTAAAGTTGTGAATAAAACAAATGAACAAAAATAAGTGACAGAGACACGAGGCCCATAAAGTCTAAAGTACATACTAGATGACTCTTTAAGGAAAAAGTTTGCTAACTCCTCTGTCCTGTTCTGGGCATGGGTCATGCTCCTATCATCTGAATCTGGTCTAGGATGAGAAGCTGACTTCAGTTAGGCTTAATACTGTCTGTAGGACCAAGAATATCTAAAAGGCAATGTTTATTTTAAAAAGCCTACTAATATGTATTTCTACTTAATGTTTCAACTTCTCCTGTATTTGATGTCTAATATGTTTTGTAAAACAGCAGAATACTGTAGGGACCATGAAATTACATTCTTGAATATTCTCTTGGGGTGAGAGGGACATTCCTAATATCTCTGCTTTATACCAAGATTTATTTTATATTCAAAGTATTTCAATTATCATTGACCCATCTTGGTTTATGTAGTTCTGCCTTCTGATTCTTACAGTAAGAATTTGGCAACAAACCTCTAAACTTTTACTCCAGAATATTTCAACACTTACAAAAGAAGAAACAAATTTCCCTTCCAAACAACTAGCTTACTGAAGTAGAACAAATCAAAATAGTGCGATACTGCTTATACTCCTGAAAATACTAAGACATGGAGAACAAAATGGTTGAATGCTTACTGCATAAAAGTTATTTCAGGAACACCATGAAGAAAGAGTGATTTTGTTGCAATCTAGCTAGTTCCTAGACCCCCTACCCAGAATGCTTATTATAATTAGCATATATACTTACACCACAGATGTGACGTTGTTAGCCAAAGAACTTTCATAGTATGGGATGCCTTTACTAATTACAACACTGATTTGGCCACCTAACACATTTGACACCACTCCTGCATGCACACCAGCCATGCACAATGGCGAGGACTTGAAGAAGGGAAAAAGAAAAGGTTAGTTTTTATTTTTTCATTTTTTGGGGGTAATTTTATATAAGCAAGATACTTATACTTCCTCAATCAGTTGATCAGGGGAGTTTTCTCATAAAAACAGATGATTGATGCTATAGGACAACACATTTTTTAGCAGAAGAATAAAACATTACATATTACTAAAAAGAAATATTCCTAAATTGAAAGGATGAAGATATATAATAGATACATATCTATCTATTCTAGAGTTAAAAAATAAAGTGTATCACAAATTTAAATCTATATCCAACTTACGTCTCTATATCCATGAGGAATTGTTCCAGAGATCTCAGCAAAAGGAAGCAGACAACCAGCTGGACAGTACTTACTGGCAAATAAAAACAAGTAAAAGATTATATAACACTGGACTTGCTAGGGTTTACATCAAAAATACCACACATACATGTTTCAGTTCAATGTAGTATCACCTTCTATACTGACAGAACCACCACTACCAAATGCCCTTCAGACTTTCTTCTACCCACACTCTCAACATGTCTTCATATTATCTACAAAAATGTTCTTACATTCTACATATTGCTTTGATACTTCATAATGAACGGCAGACCATAAGAGAGATTCATCATATTTCATGTTTATGTGAATGTTTATTATATTGTCTGTTGAATATGGGCTGTGCTAGAAACTGGGTTTACAAAGGTCACCCAAGTAAATATGGCCCCTGTAATCTTAAAGTTAATATTCTAGTGACAGAAAAAGACATTAAACCAATACTTGTACAACTACTTATATTTTGATTCTTCTATAAAGAAAAGGCACTTTGAAATAACTGGGAGAATTTTAATGTAATACAAGTAATATAAACATTTGGTAACCTTGTTATGTCATGGAGCATTCTAAGTGTTTCGAGTAATCCACACAAGAATTCTATGTGGTAAATACTATTATTATCCTCCTTGCAGAGAAGCAAAATAAAGAACTGTGTCATGTCACACAGACCTGCTGAAAGGCAGATGTGCTCCAGAGACTGTACTGTTACACAGGGCTCTCTGCACAGTTCAGGGACTGGGGCTCTAAGGAAGTGAAAGCTTAGCAGTGATCTGGCAGATGGAAGAAGTAAGAGGTGGGCACTGTATAATGAGCACTAGGAAAAGCATGCTCTGAGGCAGGACGGCCTGGTGTGTGTATGCAAGAGCAGATGGCTGATGCAGGTACAATGAGTGAGCAAAAGAAAGGTCAGAGAGATGGGCAGAGATCACATCCTGCAGAGGCCCTGTGAGCTAGGGAATGTGTTTCTAAGTAATAATAGGAAGCCAGTAAAGGATTTGACAGCTTACATACATAATCTGATTCATATTTTTTAAATAAAGATTATTCTAGCTCCTAAGAAGAAAAGAGACTGCAAGAAATCATGAGAGGAAGCTGGGGTGGTGGTGAAGGAGCTAGAAGTGGAGGGAGACAAGCAGACTCTCCACCAACTGATGTCTGGGTTACTAGTGTTGACCAGGATCCCTCAAATGCTAAAGCCAGCACTCTTTCCACAACAGCAGGTTGGGAGGAGGTCGGTGACATGGGTCTTGAAAGATGAGAATGATTGTGTCTAGCACAGGGAATAAAGTCATTCTATGCAAAATGTCTGAGAAGTCAGAACCAGTATAAATAAATAGTATACATAGATAAGATTGGAAAATTGGCCCACGGCTATTTGTGCATGACTTTGAAGACTAGACTAAGGAATACGAACAACTTCTTAGCATAAGATTTTAATCTTAGCATAAGATTTTTAAGCAGGTAAAAGATCACATACACATTTTAGAATGCCACTTAGAAGTTGTTTGAAATTAGAAAACCAGCAAAGATGAGAAATAGGAAATCTATTAAAAGATAATCTTAGTCTAAGCAAAAAAAAAAAAAAATCAATAAAACAGAGAAATAGTAGTGAAATGCTACTTGGGAAAGAACACTAAAAAATTCTGTAATAGCGTAAACCATCCCCATTCCTTTTCTCTAAAAGAAATAAATAAAATAAAATAGTATTATTACTCTTATAAATACTTTTGCCAGGTTTTAGAAAGCAACTAGTTCTATTTTTAAAGCATTTAAAAATTTTACTTTCATTTTGAAGGCTTATGCTACAATTAAAGCAAAATTTAAACAGGGCAATTAAATGGCTTTAAATAATCTCTAATTTTCCACTCTTGAAACTGATTGTGTCACACATTATACATTAATCTTCAGAGTAAAAGAATAAAGTGTGCATGCACAAACACACAGTCATTAATATGGTCATACCTGAATTCAGGTTCCAAAAAATTGGATGCAGTGTCCAAACAAGTAATTAGATCTAGGGAAAAAAAAATTCAATGATATTCAGATTTATTACTCTTGTTTAAACATCAAGTACTACAGAATCTCAAATTATATTGATGTAAATTTCAAAATCTCAACAGTACTAAAAATTACAAATTTTCACCAGGCGTGGTAGTGTACGCCTATAATCCCAGTGGGTTAGGAGGCTCAGGTAGGAAGATCACAAATTCAAAGCCAGCCTCAGCAGATTAGTGAGTACTTGGCAACTCAGTGATACCCTGTCTCTAAATAAAATATATATATATATATATAAAAAGGGCTGGGGATGTGGCGCAAGTGGTTAAGCACCCCTGGGTTTAATCCCTGGTTTAAAAAAAAAAAAACCTATAAATTTTTGTTAATCATAGTTATTTCTCTCATTTGATATGGTTTGATTCTGGGAGCTATAACTCCTTAATACTGTTTTCTATTACATCACCTCCTGAAGTCATATCATACATGCAGAACATACATACGTGAGTAAAATTTGTACACTCTTAGAATGGCTTCTATAAAATACAGCTCCAACAAAGAAAACCATTTCTTGGTTGTTATTATGACTAAAAATGATCCTTTGATGTTTACACACAAGGAAAATAATGACAAATAAGAAGTGAGGTAATTCTGTGGCTCTAGCTAATTGCATTTGAAATCTGGTCCACAGACAGAAACTGCAGCATCAGCATCTTCTGAGAACTTAGAAGATATTCAACCCCATCCAGACTTACAGAATCTCTGGAGAGGGGACTCAAGAATTTGTTTTGAAAAACATTCCAGGTAATTCTTAGGCACACTTAAATTGAAGAATCACTGCTCTAAAGAAATAAAAACTCAAATTTTAACATTTTTTCCTATCTAGAAATCAATATATCCAAATAACAGCTTAAACTACCTCTAATTAAGACCTAGTTCCTAGGCTATATAAAAGGAAGTTTTCAATTAATAACACTTAGTGGCTTCCTTCTGCTCTTGGGATTGAGAACAAAGCCCTCAATGTGGTTCACAGAGTCTTAAAGGGTTTGGTTCCTCCTCTCTCAGCTATTGTCTTGTACCCACCTTGGCTTCTCACCACTAGCCCTCTTTGGAGACTCTGGCACATGAATGCTCTTTTAGGCTGGAAGGTTTTTCCATTATCCCTTAACCTAGCTGTAAGATCTTAACTGTTAATTCCTCATAGAAACTGCCTTGACCTTTCTAAGCCAAACTCCATTAGCACATAGTAGGTACTAAGTTTTGCTTGTTTTAATGAGCAGTTGACTATTACATGTTCTCGGTATACCATATGCTATGTGAGATTGCTTTTGTTGATGGAATTACTAATTATAAACAATATGACTTTGTAATGTCTAGTCCCTGGACAAAACTGGGACTGTCTTCATCTTTGCACTGCCAGCAGCAATTACAGCATGAAGGACATGCTGGAGACTTTCCTTGAAGATTACTGAATCGATGGGAGAATGAAGTTTCTGATAATTAGTGTTTGGCTAAGTTCAATCTTTACTAACCTGAAGGGAAGCAAATCAGGAAGAAGACCCAAAGACAATCACAAAAGTAAGATATTTTACATATAAGTGTTTGGTTAAAAACTGTCAAGAAGGTTACTACATTGATGGAGCAGCATACTTCCTAGCATAAAGCTGATACATTATGTCCTCCACAGCAAACCCAGGATAACTGATCACTCTATTTTACAATTCTAAAGAAATTTTATATTTATTATCCAACTGAAATACGTCTTGAAAAAGAGCATAAAAAGTACATTATGCTAATTGGAAAGTGGCATTATGAGAGCAATTGTATGGATCATATGCACACATCATAGGCATTAGAATGATTAACTTACATCTGTGTTTTAGAGGTAACAAGCCTCCACAGGGGTTCACTACTACTTAGTTGACCGACTTCGAAAAGCAGACAAACTGAATTACGTACACTCTATAGTTACGCTTGTCAATCTTTGCACAGCATCAATGAAAATCAATTTTCCACTTTCCTGCTCTACCAAAAAAATTTCCAACTTCTAAGATTCAGCTTCTAAGATTAATAGCTTGTGATGAAAAAGTACCTGTGTGGTCCAACATGGCATTCAAGCCACAAGATGACTGCCAGCTGGCCTGGTTACCTTCACAGCACATGCCAGAAAGCTGGTTGACAATGGATATATTTGATCAGAACAGGGCTTTGGTTGTAAATTTGTGCAGTACTTACCCTCCACATTATGCCATGCAAATGTGCAAGTAATTGCCCTGGCTCTAAAATTCCATTAAGGCTCAAAAAAGCTCCTTTGGAGGAAAATAAGAATTAAAAATAGTTGAAGGAGGGACAAGAAGACTGAAGAAAGGGAAAGCAAGCCACAAGTACAGACTCTGACATTTACAACTTCACAAAAGCAAGTAAAACATTAAGCAGGAAATTAGATTATGTGTCTTTCTTGAAAGCTTTCCCCAAGTAAACAGACTTTCAGAAAATTGTTGCTACTACAAGGGTCCCCACTAATGAAAACACAGCTCGGGAAAGAAACAATCTGTCTCCAACACTTCTGATTGAAGTGTTTAAATGAAGAGAACTAAACCCTCTACAGAGTCTGGAACAAAATCCTCAAATTTAAAATTGAATTTTGACATGGGTACTGTTATAGTTTAGATATGAGGTGTCGCCCCAAAGTTTCTGTTAATGCAAGGATATTCAGAGCTGAAATGACTGGATTGAGAAAGTTCTAACCTAATCAGTCCATCCTACTTTGAAAGGATTGACTAGATGCTAACTGCTGGCAGGTGGGGCATGGCTGGAGAAGGTGAGTCACTGGAGATGTTCCAGCAAGGCTGCATCTTCCCTGTTCTCACCATCCTTCCCTGCTTCCTGATACCACCATAAACTGAGCAGCTTTCCTCTGCTGGGCCCTTCCCCTGCGATGTGCTGCCTCATCTTGGGCCCAGAACAAAGGAGTTGGATATCTATGGGTTGAGACCTCTAAAACCATCAGCACCAAATAAGCTTTTCTTCAGTTACTCTTTTCGGGTATTTTGGTTAAAGTGATTAAAAAACAAACAAACACTAAAACAGGTGCTCAGACAAAGGGGGTTGGGGGGATTAGAGAGACAGTCTTTTAAACCAAGGATGCTGGAACAATTTGATATCAAGAATGAAATTGGATGCGTACCTCATGCCCTATGTAAGAATTATTCAAAGATGATCTAAATTTAAGAACTAAAACTAAAGACTTTTATAAGAAAATACAGGAGTAGAAATCAGGGATGTAATTAAAAAAAATACTTAGAGGTAAATGAGAAAACTAATGCAACATATCAAAACCTCTGGGACAATATAAGGTAGTGCTAGGAGGAAAGTTCAATGTACTGAGCTCATTCATTAAAAGAACAGAAAGTCAACAAATAAATAACCTAATATTATACCTCAAAGCCCTAGAAAAAGAAGACCAAATCAACACCAAAAGCAGGAAAGACAGGAAAATAATTAAAATCAGAGCTGAAATCAATGAAACTAAAAACAACAAAAAAAATCCAAAAAAACCTGACAAAATAGTTGGTTTTTTGAAAAAATAAATTGATAAACCCTTAGCCAAGCTACCAAAGAGAAAGAAAGAAAACTCAAATTACTAAAAATTGTGATGAAAAAGAAAATACAGCAGTACATCTTGACCTTAGATTAAGAAATGGTTCCTTAGATATAATGAAAAGAAAAGGCACCAAAATAAAAATTGATAAACTTAAATTCATCAAAATAAAAACTTTTGTGCTTTAAAGGACACTATCAAGATAGAGAAAGACAGCTTAAAGAAACAGTGAAAATATTTGCAAATCATATCTGATAAGGGTCTATAATCCAGAATACTTGAAGAATATTGAGAAGTGACAACATAACAACATATATCCATGTGATGGAATGTTATTTGGCCACAAAAAAGGAATGAAATATTGATACATGCTACAATATGAATGAACTCTGAAAACTTGTAAAGTCAAAGAAACCAGTCACAAAAGATCACACACTCTGATTCAATATAAAAATCCAGAACAAACATATCTACAGAGAAAAAAGGTAGTTTGGTCATTATCTAGGATTGGTGAGGCTCAGAGTAAGAAATGGAAAGTGACTGCTATTAATTATAGTGCTTCTTTTGAAAATGTTCTAAAATGGACTTTGGTAAAGACTGTAAAATTAAATATACTGAAAAGTGGTGAATGTCATACTTTATGAGAATTATATGGCATACTTTATGTGAATCATCTCAATAAAATTATTATATAATGTTTAAAAATTAAAAAAAAAGATTTCACAGAAGTAATATCAATTCCTTTAACATATAGCACTTCTGCATAGATGAGTAAAATAAAGCCCAGTAAAAGGTCCAGCATTGGCACTTCTTTCAATCATTCATTTGTTCATTTATTCATTCAGTAAATATTTAATAAATATTTCAGTAAATACTTAATCTCAGTAAATATTTAATAAGCACATATTATGATTCAGTTAATATTTAGTGTTTAGTATTTATTAAGCCATGTATTATGACCAGGTGTTTTCCTAGGCATTAGAGAGAAAGACAAAAATCCCTGAGCATAGGAAGTATACCTCCAGAGGGAATATGGTGGAGAAAATATGCAATATTAGAAAGAAAAATATAGTGTGGTAGAAGAAGATAAGTATTTAAGGAAAATAAGGAGAGTGAGGAAATTAGGAGATGTTAAGAACTTACAATTTTAAGACTAGTGGTCAGGCTAGGCCTCATTTGAAAGGGTGACGTCTGAATAAAACAAGAAAATAGGCGAGGAAATGAGGTATGAGATATAAGGAAGTGAAAACAAGTAGTGGATATCACAAAGGCCCAGGTGGAAGCATGCCCAGAAAGACCAGAGTGAAGATGGAGAAGACAAGGAAGAGACAAAGTCAGACAAGTAACAGGAAGACAAATCCTATACGGTCTTGGTGGTAAAGACATTTTGCAGAAAGAGATGAGACTTTTCATTTTAATGA